TAGTAGTAGTAGTAGTAGTATCAGTACTAGCAGTAGTAGCAGCAGTAGCAGTAGTTGCAGTAGCAGTAGTAGTAGCAGTAGCAGTAGCAGTAGCAGTAGCAGTGGCAGTGGCAGTAGTAGTAGTAGTAGTAGTAGCAGCAGCCGCAGCAGCAGCAGCAGCACCCCCCACCAACTACCTCTCCTAAACACTGGTTAACAGCACATCCATGTTACTCGGTATTTACACTACCTTCGTGATGTCGCCAATACCAACCACCGCTGTTGAGGGGGTGAGGGGGGGTTGGGTAGGGGCCATGATGACGTACTTTAAAGATCACATCCATTTACTCGGTATTTACAGTACTTATTTCGTGATGTTGTTGTCCAATGATGATGATGGGGTTTCGGCGCCAGGTAGTTGGTAGGGGGGGGTGGCTAGTAGTGGTNNTGGTAGTAGTATTAGTAGCAGTAGCACGCAGCAAGTAGTAAGTAGTGCATCAGCCAAGATTGCTTCAGGTTGTGAGGGCTCCGTGGCTGATGGGGGCTTGACCGAGCAAACGCTGCAGCAAGTCCGAGATGCCTCAGCTGGAATGAGGACAGTCTGCGAAGTGCCACGGCCCTAAACCCTAAGCCCTAAACATCCCTAAACGGTTTACAAATTTCCCTTTGCCTCCATTCGCATGTTGGCCCGAGTTCATAGTATCTTAGATGGTGAAAGTTGGTCGCCTCGGCTTTGATGTTAGAAAGATCATGGGCCTTCAAGTGTCGATGGAGCGGAGGATGACCGAGAGGAGCCTGGAGTCAGAGTGTATGTGAGCATGTAGTGGTGTTGGCGGTTGAATCCCCGTTGCATATTGCCCAGGCTCCTGTCCCCTGCCTCAACCAACATGGTCTTCCGGAACCCTTATCAGGCGAAGGAAAAGAGGTGATAAAACAAAAACAGACATCCCTAAGCCATAACCGCCAGAACCCTAAACCCTAAACCGTGCTTGTGGCTCACAGCACCGTTACTATCATCCCAAGTCTTCGAGTATTGCATCCTAAACCAAATCGTATAGATGCTAAACTTGTACCAAGCAGCTGGAGAAAGGGCACACCAAAAGCAAGCACCAAAGACTAACAGGATGCTTTACGACCGCTTTCAAGTCGCGGACCTGGCGACGCCGGATCTGAAGACTGTTGAGGATGCGGCTGCTCGGCGGAACTTCCGAACTTGAAGCCCGGGCCAACACCGCATAAACCGGACCCGGTTCAGGATGTACGGGAGGCACTCATAAGAAGCTGGAACATGATGGTTTTTGAAGTTCAATCAGTTCTCATTCCTAAAGCAGGTCTGACGCACCCCAGCAGTTTAAGTGCACGTATGCCGCTGGCAAGCGCCCCTTGCTGCTTGCAACGACTGCGACGACTGCTTCACAGGAAGCGTTTGTGTGAGAGTTTGTTGGGTGAGTTTATGAGGGCTTCGATAGTACTTCGCTGTATGGAACGAGCCAAAGAGGGCTTTAGTGCTCAAAATTCTTCGTGTTACATGCCCGGTCGGGAGCCACAAAAGCGTCAATGTCCAGCGATCGATTCTGGTCTCCAGGACTTCAACAACAGCAATTGCTGCTGTGGCGTGCTGCTGCTACTGCTGCGAGTGCTACCGCTGCTGCTACTGCTGCTGCTGCTACTACTACCACCACTACCACCACCACTACCA